GACGCAGCATGCTGTGAACCCAGCGCAACCGCACCGCTCCGACTTCAATGCGTACCAACGTACGCAGCGTGGTTTCGGTTTCGTTTTCTCTGGGGCTCTCACTGCCTACCTTCGGTACCGGCCGCGCGGCGGCGCGCCAGTCGCGTCGCACGGAGTGTATAGTCATAGAGATCAGTGAGTCTGACAATAGCCAACGTTATTGGAGCAAGCTTGCTCTAGTAACGTTGACCATAAATCTTCCTCTATATTCACAAAGCCTGGCAGTTCAATGACGTAGCCATAGAGCGTCCGGTCGCAGATTTAGAGCGCGAGGATCTCGTAGCATATATTTCTCAGGGTAGTGAGCGCTGCAGCTTCTGAGCGGCGAGGACCCGAAATACACTGTTCGCTATGGCCCGGGAGAAACCGATGCGACTGGCTGCTGATGTCGAGGCTAGGCGGTTGCGGCCGCCGAGGGCTATGGCGGAGGCTACGCCGCAAGCGGGCTCAGCCTCGTCGTCACATTGTGCAGCTGCGACGACGTCCTCAGACCATTTGAGTTGTCTGGGCAGCTGTGTGCCATGGCGTATGGACCGGCGGAAACTCCAAGCAGGAAATACAAACCTTTCAACGCTATTCCCGTAATTTGTAATCCCGTAATTCCTGTAATTTGTAATCAACCAGCCCCGGCAGTTTGCCTCACAATTTTGAGCGTTACGGGGGGAACCAGCTGAACAATGAGGGAAGGATAAACAGAAAAGACAACCTACCGCTGGACTACCGACTATTTTAATAAGACGTCCTCCTCTTCTACTAGTTATTATGCGTACGCATTTTTTTTTTTTTAAATCCTGAATTGTGTTGCTACCTTTCTTCGTTTTATACTGAGCCGGGAGGGCGTCTTGCACAAGGAGCTTTTCTTGGGGTTGCAGAGTTATTGAGGCTGATTGTTTAGCTGGTTCCGCCCGTAATGTATAATAACCAAATAGCTCAACTCATCCCTGTAGTAATTTTGAGCACAGACGAAACAGATGAAACCGAAACAGAGGAACGGGGAAGGGGTGGCTTGAGTTGAGCTAGTTGGTCGACAACAGGAAAAAACAACTATAGTGTGTTTCGGCGTCTCGCTGCAGCGGGGCGCCCGTTACATGACTCTCCCCTTATCCGTTGCTTGCACCTCTACCTTTTCACTTCTGGCGGCCGCGTCACGTGACTTTCTGCCAGGTTTTGTCAGTACGAAGCGACTATGGTCTGACTGACCCAACTTCGTCGTCGCCCTCTCTATATACGGCTCTGCAGTAAATGAGCTACGCCTAAGAGTATCGGCCACTAATCTCTATTGTAGTACGCTGTATTGCGTATCAAGGCTTGTTCTTGCTGGGGTCGAGTGGCACCATCGGCAGCCATCACTTGACATCATGCTAATGATGAGAGCCCTCACGGTTCTTATCAATAAATGTTTTGTGATGAGCAACTCCGCTGGGCGAAAAATCCAGTGCAGCTCAATGAGAATAGGGTTACCTAGAATTACCGCGGAGTCGATGGGTTTCGATGAGTTGGATTTTTCAGACGACAAGCTTGAAGGCTCATGCAACGAATAAATTGGCTCACTCCCAGAAAACCGCTGTCAAGATAGTTTTTTCTTCTTCTTTTTACAGTCATACATTTTTGGGCTTCTTCGAGGACTGTCAAATTGACGGCAAGTTGTTTTGTTCACTCCACTACGAGACCAAGCTTGCCAGCTCCACAGTGGGTGCTCTGGCACGTTTTATTTTTGAGTGGGCGTTCGAACGCTTGACAGTTATAGATTCGATCTCGAAACAACCAAAATAATGATCGCAGCACATCATAAAATACTCGCCTTCGAGCACCGCGAGCAAGCTTTGAAGGGATGGTGCAACAATATTCAATGGGAATGTTTTTCGCTTTACACGCTTTACACCAACTTACTGGCACTAGTGGACCTTAAAGGGGCCCTCCGGAGCTTTCTGCGATCGTCTGTTTATGTTGTTATATTGCGTAGTAGGTGCAAGTTAACATGTATACAAAGTTTTAGATTACAAAACCGGTTATTAAGCAGATGGCAGTAGAAATATATCGGGACTATTTTCTCTTGGAAAACAATCCCCCATTACCTGCCCATCGCTAAAACTTGACCAATGGAAATGCTGCATCTCGCGGTGAATGCGAACGTTATTATTGCAACACTTTTTGAGCTTGTTGTAAATTAGAGTTTGAGAAAAACGTAAACTGATTGTGGTGCGGGAAACATAGTACGCAATTATCGCTCCAAAACCAGCGAACTATGTTTTCTCCTTGCAAGCTTGTTGCGAGGGGGTGATGCGTCGGCGCGTCGGCTCATCTGCTTCCCGGGGCGTCTGCAGGCGTGCGTTTGCGGGACACGTGTTCCTTCTTCCCGTGGATCCCAACTCCGAAGCCAGCTTTGTGATCCTTCCACGTCAACGAGTCAAACTTTTCCTTGTCATCTGTGGAATGCGACTGCGTGTTGCAGTAGCAGCGCGACGGTGCGGTGCGACGAACGACGAGTGCAGAGCACAAAGTCCGGGCTCCTTGACGACGGTCCGCGAGTGTTCGAAAGATTCCTCCGCGAGTCGGCGGTCGGCCACGTTGGTGACGCGCAGTGACGCCGAAATCCTTCGCTTGCTATTGGCTGACGAGTAAAGAGATGCCCCTCCCATTTTCCCGGGTCATCTCAGAAAGGGGGGCGTGCCGGGGACTTTGATAGCAATTTTAACCGCCGCGCATGACCGTAATTTTATGATTTTTAGGATCCTTAGGGGCTGTAGATTGAGTTACCGCCATAAATAGACGATCACAGAACGCTCCGGAGGGCCCCTTTAAGGATACTCGCACGCAACTCCGCTGGCCATGGAACTCCTTTGTTGCGGTGTAATCTCAAGGACAAAAGCGAGCGTTTTAATTCAATTTCTCTTTCGCAAAACTTGAGGACGTAGCTGGGCGGTCGCAGTGCCGCCCAGTGACGATATTTGAATGCGGCGCGTGGGCCATTGCGTGGGCACTCGATTTGGGCTCCTGATAATCGATAGCCCGAGAAGCATTCGGGTAGTGGCCCGTGTCCAATCGCTGCAACGACGACAACAGCCGAGCCTTAACGATGTCTGGAACTCAGCGCGTGTCCTGTGCTTTGCCAATCCCAGCGCGTGGCTATGGTCAACATTGGCGGCATATAATCGGCTCCAGATCACGCGGCCGCTTGTTCCGACTGCGAGTTGAGAGAGTGAACCTGCTTATTTTTCTATATTTTTTTTTGTGCGAATGCGATTGCGTGTGGTAAAAAACAAAGAGGTGTTTGACAGGTAATTAACGTCAGGGATCTGTTCAAAGCGGTATTTGCGCAAAGTACAAAAATCGTTGCATCGCCCCTTTAATATTTTTTTTGTGCCCCCTCTTCCCCCTTTCCCTTTACGCCACTTTGGGGCGACAGTCTGGAAATGGCTCACGAAAAATAATAACAGACCTGACCTATCAGCACACGCGTCGCTTGGCGGCGCCTCGCGGGCGGAACAATTAAAGCCCCTTGATGTTTTAAAAGTAGTGCAAGGTGCGTCGATGCACGAGGCACGTGCAACGTGCAGTCCTTAGGAAGATAATGGCGGCACAGCGCAGCATTGAGATTTCAGACAGCATGTTCTTCCCAGAAGTGGCGCGCGGCATATGCCTCGAACATTTCCACCACAATGAAAGGCGCCACTTTTCCTAGGATAGAAGGACTTTAAGAACAACCCCTGTCCCACGAGGCCCCTCCGAAAAGGGAGACCTGCGGGGCGACTGGCCGCCGCTCTGCAGGAATTTTTTTTCCGCAGGACTCTCTCTCCTGGTGTGGGAAAGCCCGTGCAATCACAAACTTGTGAAACGATATGTTCACGCGCATGCTGCACGTGCTTGCACTCATCGGGCACCAGGCGGGGCGCCATGCTATAGGAAAAATACTGAGCGGTTGATGTGTTATATGCAGGGTTCCGTGTTATCGAATAATAATAATAATGTCTTTATTGCACGAAGAAATATGCGAAGAAATAATAACTCCTCCGATAAACTCCGAAAAACATCCGCCGGTAAACATTTTGTTGAATAGAATGTATCCAATCAACTTCAAACTTCCATGTACCAATGCCAAAAAAAAACGATGATATTTTAAGATTCGTTATTGCGCAATATTTGTACACAGGGCCAATGGTCATGAAAAGATGCCACTCCAGTTTTCTTTCAAATCTCGCGGCATTCACAAAAAGGATTTTACCTCTCATCTCGTCAAGGTTCATTCAGAACAGGTCATTTTTCGGGTGGCCACTGTTCAGGTTGTAAGTTTAGACCATAATATTTGTGTTTCTTACAGGAACATCGTACCATTAAAAGCTATGAACCATATTTTTTTTCTTATAGAAGGTGTAAAAGGGGTGGACAGTTCAAGCCTCCATATTACACCTTACAACTCCACCCAACGCAGCCGAGAGGTAAGTCGATGGATAGGATGGGATAAAAAAGCGCTGTTCAGCGGCTAACCTCCAGGAGTAAATTGATTTTAAGATATCACCATTTTCGAAGCAACACTTGTTTGCAAATTTAATCTTGAAACAAATTAGTATCGCCAATGGAAATGGCGTCCACGCGAAATCCAGCTGAAGAAATATTATTTAATACCAACTGCGTTCTCTTGAATCAAGCATAAATAAGGCATACATATTATTTTTTTTTTTACTTTTTGGAAAATAAGAAACGGCGAATTTAAACTCGAAATTGCGAACAATGGGGAATTTAACAAAAATAGACTCTAATGAACTCCAAATTTTTGGCAAAAAACACCCTCCGAATTTGACAAAAAAATAAAAAAATAAAAAATAAACTCCGAAGTCACAAAATCCTAGCTTTATGATAACGTTTTCATTGCGAGTAAATTAATAACGCGGTGCAAATAAACGATAAAAAGTTCGACTTGGAATTCTACGAGTGTGAATACACTACAACAAACCAGATGTGTTTTAGAGGGGCGGCAGGCCACGGTGGCGTATTATTAGGGATTCTTTTCGCTTGGTAGAACTTGATTCCTTGAAGACTTCGGAAGGAAGCAGCTCGCCACAGATGCTGAGCCTGGCCGGTTTGATCCTGACCGCTTTCAGCTTGCGCGCCATGGCCTTGCCCACAAGTTCATCGAAGGCCGCCTTAAGATGAGAATCCTCACCGAGGGCCTTTCTCAACGTTTCCCTCTTCCATACCACGACCTTGCATGCTCCCAACGCCGTAGCTGTCACCTGGTAGAGGTCGCTCTCGGGGACCACGAACCATTCCGGAGACTCGAGAAACTCGTACTTGCCAACCTGCTGTAAGGTCCGCTGGTTTTCGGTCACCAGGAGGTTGCCGCTGACCACGAGCGACAGGTTATCGTTGCGGCTGACCTTTTGGACTGCGAACACCTCCCGATCGCTCAGTTCACGAATTTCGCCGACACAGGCGTTGACGCCCTGGAACTGATGGCGCGTCACCCCGAGCGGCCGGAACAGGTCCTCGAAGACCGCCTCCAGCTCGGTAATGAACGAGACGCTCTGCAAGCCACGGACGAGCACGCAGATGTGGACGAGGTTGATGAGAGTGAAGAGGGCGTTCCAAACGAGTGTGTCGAAGGCACACAGGATGACGTATCCCCACAGCGCGAAGAAGAAGGAGCCCAAGCCGATGACGACTCGCAGTTGGAGCAGGGCGTACGGTCCTCCTGGAATCAGGTAGGAGAGCAGCAAGAAGAAGTTGGCAATTTGAAAGAGATAGTGGTTGATGTTCAGCCAGGCGGGACAGATGCCACCCGCGGGTTCCACGGACGGGGACACGCTGGCGTTTGCTTCGGCGCCGCTCATGTTCACCGAACGAAGGAAGAGAAACTGAGCAGTTTCCGGCATGCTGTCGCTGGAACCGTGAGTACCGCTGTTCGAACTTTGAACGTGTGTTAGGCGAGAAGGTCGCGCGACTGGGCAGAATGCACGTGCCTGATTTCTCGTGGCTATTCTTCCACCACAATGAATCAATAATAACCCAAAACTGTGGGCGGGGGGGGGGGGGGGGTGTACAACCGCACACACCGCTTTGAAATACAGCTACTGATTTTATTTAATATCGCCAAATTTATAGAATCATCCACCACCCCTCAAAATTTTCAAACCGTCGCGCAATAAGAAAAAAGAGAGAAAAAAAAAGAAGCAACCAGGAACAGAAGAAACAGACAACCGAATTCCTCCGGGTGACCCCAAGTCATTCATTCATTCATTCATTCATTCATTCATTTATTTTTCGTGCTCATGAACGGCGAGTAGCCTATGTAATGATGCACAGAGTCAAAAGAAACACACATAAGAAATCAACAGCACATGCAACAGCTAATATCTATTATGGGGGAACAGGAAATAGGTAACAGTTAAATATCAGCCAGAGAACACCTAAATGCTTGAACACTTGAGTTGAAAATGTCGATGTCGATGCTGGTTGTACTGAACCTGTTATAAAAATGTTGGATGCGGTTCATGGGACTGGAGAGGTTGATTTTTTGAACTGAGAAAGTGGGATTAACCCTCAAGAGCACTCGCGGTACATATATGCTAATAGCTGATGTAAGGGTCGAACAGTCAATGCAACCATGAACGCATTTATACAAAAAAACTAGATCGCGCTCAAGTCTTCTCGAGCTTAGTGTGGTACAATCACATCGTCGTAAAAGCCTGTTATACTCATAATAAACACTGCGGCCAATATAGCGATCATATACAATACGGAAGAAACGTCTCTGCACGTTTTCGATTTTTGCTTGGTTTGCATTACCAATACAATTCCAAACAACAGAACTAAACTCAAGCTTGCTACGTATTAATGAAAAATACAAAATGAATATGCAAGCTGACGAAGGGAATTCACGTGTTATTCTCGAAATAACACCTAGCGTCCGATAGGCAGCATTTGTGATGTTGGAAACATGTTCATTGAATGACAAAGATGAATCAATATATACTCCTAGATCTCTTGTGCATTCAACCCTACGCAGAGGTAGGTTCTCAAGATAATAACAAAAACTTACAATTTCCAGTTTCTTAGAAAAGGACATAACTACAGTTTTTTATGATTTAGTGTTAACAAATTGCGGCAACACCAATGATGCACAGCATTAACATCCTCCAGTATCATTTCACAGTCATAGATGGATGAGACCTGCCTAAACAATTTGATGTCGTCAGCATATTGCAAAATATGTGAATGGCGGACACAAGAACCAAGATCATTTATAAAGACATTGAATAAAATTGGTCCTAGTATGGACCCCTGTGGCACACCCGAAAATGACACATAAGGTTTAGAATGATGTCCCATTATACGAACGAAGTTTTTTCTTTCCATCAGATAGTTCAAAAAAAATTTGCAAAGCTGGTTATTGACTCCATATGTCCCCAATTTATGGACAAGAATTGAATGATTAACCAAGTCAAACGCTTTCGATAGATCAAAGTATACGGCGTCTACCTGCCCACGCTGATTGGTAATCGGCGAAACGAAGTTTAAAAATGATACTAGATTGGTCTCTACAGACCTCCCAGAGAAGAAACCGTGTTGTGAAATGCTAATTTTACGTTTAAAAAATAGTGACAAATGTTCAAACAAAACGATTTCATAAACTTTCGAAAATGCACAAAGCAAGGATACCGGCCTGTAATTCTTTACGTCATCGGTCTTGCCACCTTTGTGAACAGGCACAATGACAGAATTTTTCCAAAGCTCAGGAAAAGTAAAACTTGACAGAGGCAAGTTGAAAATATGAGTTAATATCGGCGTAAAAATGGAGGAACAACCTTTAACAATAAAGCTTGGGATGCCATCAAATGCCATTGATATCTTGGGTTTTAGTCTTTTTATCGCAATCTCGATTTCAGCGCTTTGAAAAGACGTTATCGAGAGGTTATCATTAAAATTGCTACTATCATCTGGCGTGCATGGCGTAGCTTGGTTTGAGGAGTAGACAGATTCGAAATAATCAGCGAATGCGTTTGACACACATGCAGGTTCATTCAGCACTTTACCAGATGCGTCACATAGGCTTATCGCAGGAGAGGACGTGGTCATGCGATCATTGACATACCGCCAGAAATACTTGGGGTCGCGGTTTAAGCTGCGTTCAACTGACTCTCGATAAGATTCTTTGTCCCTCTTGATTAACACTTTAGCTAACGCTCGTGATTTGGAAAACTTATTATACCAAAACTGTGTTTGTTTAACCTTATATTTCCTATGGTAATGCAGTTTTTTTCTAAGCTCGGACCTAAGCTCGTGCGAAAACCAATGAGGATAGCGGGATGAGTGACGACACTTTTTTGGAACAAACATTTCGATGGCGTTCGTAATACAGTTAGTAAGTAACTCAACAGCGCAATTTACATCGGTTGTTTCATATACTGGTGCCCAATCAACGCTATCTAAAAATCTGAAAAGGCCAAGATAATTACCCCCATTAAAAGCGAATGATTCATAGCTTGTATGCTTTGATGTCCTGAAGGAAGCGTTGAAGGAAGCGGAGAAGGGAACATGCCACTTATATTAAAGAATTTCCCCACTTATATTAAAGAATTGTTCCGTGGAGATAACAAACTATTTATGTGTGCTTTACAACAAATCATTAAAGGATCAAAAGCTTCCAGCAGACTGGAAAATCGCAAATGTTGTGCCAATACACAAACCAGGATCCAGGAACTGCGTGGAAAATTACCAATCTATTTCTCTAACGTGCATATGCTGCAAACTTATGGAGCACGTGATTTATAGTAAACTTAATACACACTTGAACATAGATAATTTCTTTATCCGAGATCAGCATGGGTTTCGATCTGGAGCACCCTGTGTCAGTGTGCTTGTTGACGTTTTTCACTTTTTGGCGGGCGCCATGGATACTGGACATGAAGTAAACTGTTTGACTTCAAAAAAGCTTTTGATCTCGTAAAACACGAATTATTAAATTACAAACTTACCTTACTTGCCATTGATAATAATGTTTTAAGTTGGCTCGAGGACTACATGAGAGAACAAAAGCAGTGCGTTGTGCTAAATGGTGAGAAGTCCGATTACGTCGGTGTTACATCTGGTGTCCCCATGGGTTCTTTTCTGGGACCTTTGCTCTTTTTGGTATATATAAATGATGCTGTTAATAGAATGCAATCAAATATAAGACTATTTGCAGACGACTGTATCTTTTATAGAGTAATTAATGATTCGAATGACGTAAATTTCTTAAAGGCTTATCTCGACAATATTTCAATGTGGTGCAACAATTCGAAAATGAATCTGAACGTTAAATAATGTGTTCACGTGAGATTCACTCGAAAGAAAAGCTCCATTGGCTAAACCTACATGATAAATAATGAAATATTTTAGGCTAACTCAAGCGTAAAATACTTTGGTGTAATTCTGTCCAGCAATTTAACGTGGAAAGCTCATGCGAAAATGATAACTCTGAAGGCTGTACGGATTCTTATTTTTATACGACGAAATTTTCGACAGGGTTCATGCAATATTAAAATAACTTTGTACTTTGCGTTTATTCGCCCCTGTATTAAATACGCAGAAGTTGTGTATGATATCCTCCACAATAACCTAATAAAAACACTGAAAAAAAATTTCAAAATCAGTGCTTCTAGATTTGTTCTGAATGATTATCAACGCGGGGCAAGTGTCACCACCATGAAGAATAATTTAAAGTGAGAACCACTAGTTGAACGTAGAAAAATGTTTAGGTTGAAAGTTTTACATGATATATATAACAGTCACCGTTTAATCAGTCAAATAATATTTTTACACGAACCTTTTTATGTATTGGGAAGGGCGGACCACCAGACCAAAATCCGACCTTACTTTTGCCGTACTGATGTTTTTTGCGTTTTCTGTTTTTTTCCAAAACTATAGAAGGATGGAATAGGTTGGCTATTAAAGGATGTGTTTACCGTATATACATGTTTGTTTGTGTTTCGATGTTTTTGTTAGAATTAAATGTATTTCATGTATTCACTCCTGCTATAATGCCGACAGGCGATGCAGCTAGGTCTCTATGTAAATAAAAAAGTCAAGATGACAAAAGGATGAAATGGGCTCTCACTGCACTGACCTTTCACTGAACACCATTTCGCATCCCCGGAGATCTTCCCATTTCTCTATCCAACAAGAACGGCTAAATAAATAGCAAACGCTATGCATGATTTATTCACAATTCTTTATTACATTCTCTTCTTAGGGCGACTGATTGTTTCCAGTCTTGTTTCCATCCGTTACAAACTTCAAAATGCTTTGCAACCTCAAAGGTTCGTGTGTATATATATATATATATATATATATATATATATATATATATATATATATATATATATATATATATATATATATATATATATATATATATATATATATATATATATACAGGGTGTTAGTTTTTATCCGAAACAGATTTTTAAAAAAGGCGTCTTTACTGCTACGTGAATGCCGTTTTCACTATGTGTTTCTTGAGCTCGGCGGACATTCAAGAGGCGAACAACCGTCACAGTCTGGTGAGTCATTAACTAAAATCTGTTCATTAACTTTTTAATTATTGGTTTTATGGACCATGTTGCATATGTAATTTTGAAGCCAGCCGTCCTGGAAAGCTATAGACGCTTTCAGCGAGTCAGTTACTCGAGCTGCCACCAGTCGGCGCGCCCTTCGCGCGCTTTCCGGGCCGCCATAGCCGACCTTCAGTTCCTCGCCGTTGCTCTGCGTTGTGTGCTGCACAGGCCCCTACCGGAGCTTCGTTTTCGTGTTCTTTTACGTTCCGCGTTGAAATCTTGCACTTTCTTTGGGT